AGTGAGCACGACCATCAAGAGAACCATAGTGTTTATCTTCTCACAGATTACACTTGAATAGCATCAGTAAATACATTGCACCAGTAGAAGATATTGAATATGATGTTAGCAATACTTTTAATGAGCCAGTGGCCCATAGCTTGGGTGCTGGCGCTGTGGTAGTCCTTGACGGCCTATTGACACCACTATAATTTGTCTTAAGCAGTGTTGGCTATACCGACTCTCATGTTCTCAGTACAGATGGTCGTGCTGGGTTGCATGTCTTTCTTATATGGAGGGAAGCTTTATTCTTACCTCATGTTGACTCGGTCATGTGGAAGCACGAAGATTTTCATAATGGACTTAGCATTTGCCTGATACCGTGGAAGTTTAAGTCGACTAGTGATGTAATACATATTTTCTAGAAGAGTATTGGTATATTTAACCTTAATACCAGTGAGTGTTTCAGCTAATCAGATTTGTATTTGTCCTTAAGTAATTCATTTGTATGATTTTACTATTGATACTTACGCATCGATATTTGTATTGGCTACAGTTTTCTATATTTTAATTATTTGTTTTAAAAGCAAAGATTGGTGGTTTTATTTTTATGACATAGCCTATAGTTCTTAATATTTTTGTCTATGGGAACCATAAGACCACATTCAATACTTTTAGTGGTAATTGTGTCAAGGAGAGCGTGTAATTGGTTACTGCTACTTGCAGAAATACAGATATCCTCTGTGTATGAGACGGCAGCCTAATTGTAGGCGCGTCAGCTTCAAGTCTTTGAACACATTCAAAAGAGTGGGGCTGAGCACCCCGCCCTGAGGTCAGCCCAACGCATTAGGAAGCATATTAGAGCTACGTTTTGCTCTCATGTGTATGACTGAGGCGGTTCTGTTGTTCAAATAACCCTTTGCGCCATGTTAGTAAATTTCATTTTATGCTAAAAAAAACTAGGCTAGTTGCTCAAGATGCGTTTCCTTTTAGCTGTGTCAAAAGCTTATTTCCATTCACAATAAGCTTATCCCATAGTTCACATTCATACAGACTTAGATATTGACGGTTATATAACTGACTTTCGACCCGGTATCGAATTATTATGACCGAATTAACTCATAAAGACATCTGTTCTAACTTTTAGGTCTCTAATAGCATCAGAAAAATTGGCAAGTGGGCTCTTTGAGGAAATACCATGTCCCAGATCCTTTTCAGAATACTGTACAGGAATCTCCCTGCCTAGTAATTTTAAGTTGGGATCAATATAAAACGAATGCTGTAAGTTAAAGAGAACTACAGCGATAACAAGACATTCTTTTCTGTTAAGCAATTATCTAAAAAGTTTGATGTATTCAAGTTTGTCAAAAGCTACGTAAGCATCAAGAAACAAAGAGAAAAGAGAACTACCTTGTGAGTTGTAGTGGTGAATAGCTTCCCCAACACGGAACTGAAGTGTGTCGTTGAGTAACACAAACTGACAGCGAGAGGTGTCAAGTTCGCCAGCTAGAGAGTCAATGAGTATATATAATTAAACACTTGGTGTAATGATGACTTAGCTCTCGCACTATCGCTCCGTAAACAACGCAGTTTAGCCAGACTTAATACGTTAAGTCTTCCGCCCTTAAGATGTCTTGTGCTAGACCAGAAGGGTCGAAATTAACGACGATCACATAATTCACACTGAAGTATTCGACCAACGATGAACCATGGCTGCCTGTTTATGTGTGTTGCTTTATGGGCACACATAATGATGGGTCCACACGCGGTGTGAGGGTAGGCCTCGGTCTGTCGGGGGGGGGGGGGGGGGAAAGAGGGCTGTCACGAAGGCTGTCGAAGGAAGAGAAAACACATAAATGTCTTGCAAATAGTCATTTAGATTTTACTGTCGTTATGGGCCACATGAACTGGGAAAACATGTTGGTAAACATTAAAGGAAGTCGACGCTTCGTACCGTCACTGCCTGCCATTGTCGGTACACGCCACATAATAAGGATATATTTCGTGTTCAGATTATCTTTCTGTTGAACAAAATTGTCTTGTTACATTAGTCTTTGATTTTAAGTATCAAAGTAACATATGTTTCTCTGGGGCTTTACCTACATACTAGAGGGTTACCCGGCGTCGCTCGGGTGACGGAGACCACATCGTTACTACACACTATCTTCATCACCGTAGCCATCTTCACTACATAACCATTATCATTATATCCCTTTCACTACAAACGACCATCCATCATCGTAACTACTCACAACCATCATTAGTAACCATCTTTACATGTTACTATACATAATCTTCACTCCATAAAGAAGGGACAACAATTGTTAGACCGATAGCACTAACATCACACATCATAAAACACTGAAGGAGTGCTAAGAAGATCACAAAACACATTGAGTCATAGTGTCTACATAACCCTGGACAACACGGGTTCAGAACAGGACGCTCCTGCCTCTCACAGCTGCCAGACTGACGTGGCCTTACATGCCGTGGAAGCAAAGGAAAATACTGATATATACAAATCTTGCAAAAGCTTTCAACAAATGTGACCATGGTGTTATTGTTAACAAATTGCGTTCAAAAGGAAATACTGGAAAAATAAGACGATGGATCTACAATTTCCTAACGAATAGAAGCCAAAGTGTAATAGTCAACACAGTAAAAGCCGCATCATCCAGCATGAAAACCTCAGTCCCCCCCCAGGGTACTGTGCTTGCTCCAGTACTTTCTCTCACTCTCATATCGGACATAGACAAGGACTCAAACAATAGTACCTTATCATCCTTTGCAGGTGACATTAGGAAAAATATATTATCCTAGTGTCATATATATTATACATATACATTATATATATATATATATATATATATATATATATATATATATATATATATATATATATATATATATATATATATATATATATATATGTCGTACCTAATAGCCAGAACGCACTTCTCAGCCTACTATGCAAGGCCCGATTTGCCTAATAAGCCAAGTTTTCCTGAATTAATATATTTTCTCTAATTTTTTTCATATGACATGATAAAGCTACCAATTTCATTATGCATGAGGTCAATTTTTTTTATTGGAGTTAAAATTAACGTAGATATATGACCGAACCTAACCAACCCTACCTAACCTAACCTAACCTATCTTTATAGGTTAGGTTAGGTTAGGTAGCCGAAAACGTTAGGTTAGGTTAGGTAGACGAAAAGCCATTAATTCATGAAAACTTGGCTTATTAGGCAAATTGGGCCTTGCATAGTAGGCTGAGAAGTGCGTTCTGGCTACTAGGTACGACATATATATATATATATATATATATATATATATATATATATATATATATATATATATATATATATATATATATATATATATATATATATATATATATATGTCGTACCTAGTAGCCAGAACTCACTTCTCAGCCTACTATTCAAGGCCCGATTTGCCTAATAAGCCAAGTTTTCCTGAATTAAAATATTTACTATAATTTTTTTCTTATGAAATGATAAAGCAACCCTTTTCTCTATGTATGAGGTCAATTTTTTTTATTGGAGTTAAAATTAACGTAGATATATGACCGAACCTAACCAACCCTACCTAACCTAACCTAACCTATATTTATAGTTAAGGTTAGGTTAGGTAGCCAAAAAAAAGCTAGGTTAGGTTAGGTTAGGTAGGTTAGGTAGACGAAAAAACATTAATTCATGAAAACTTGGCTTATTAGGCAAATCGGACCTTGAATAGTAGGCTGAGAAGTGCGTTCTGGCTATTAGGTACGACATATATATATATATATATATATATATATATATATATATATATATATATATATATATATATATATATATATATATATATATATATATATATATATGCGAACAAGCCTGAATGGTCCCCAGGACTATATGCAAATGAAAACTCACACCCCAGAAGTGACTTCCGTAAAGCCTCCAGTATATGTATACTGGAGGCTTTTCAAGGGAAACTATTATGTTTAGTATGTCACCTATGCACGCAACTAATAAGTCAATATTGACTTATTAAATTTGCGAGAACGGGTTGCCTCTCCACCCTTGATGGACATTCCACTGGTGTAGGAAATTCCGTTGGGTGACAAATTGTGCCTTCCAAGGTTAAGGCACCATCCTTGGAAGGTTCTGGAGTAATGGTGGGGGGCAGGGGAAGGAGGGACATGGAGGGTATTTTGTTGGGGGGGGTGGCAGGGTGCACATTTGAATGGGGGCAGGTAGGGCTTGGTGTGAGGAGGGGTTTCTATGGGGAGAAAGGTGGGAGTGTATCACTCATCTCTTGGGTTGCTAAGCTACTATGATCACAACTTACAAGATACTGAGGGAGAATAGATAAGATGGACAAGGATAACCTCTTCAGATTGAGAGAAAGCAGGACAAGAGGACACAGGTGGAAGCTGTAAGTAGAAGTGAACGGAAACAACATAAGAAAGTACTCATACCATGTATAGGGTAGTTAACAAGTGGAATGCTCTAAAAGAGGAAGTTGTGGAAGCCACCTCCATCCACAGCTTTAATGCCAGATTCAACAAAGAATTTGAAAGAGTATTTAAGTTGAAATGCAGCAAGCACATGGTTAGTAGGCGGGGCATAAAGAACTAGACCTCACTCCCTCATAGACACTGATAGGTAAGTACTCCTCTTTTCCTTTCCAGCAGTTGACTAGTGCACCTTGGTGCTTCCTGTGAGGTGGCTGCTCTCATGGCTACTTTCTTCACTGTTGACATGGCTTCTGGGCTCTTTCTCAACATTACTGCAAATGTGACATGTACTGTACAAGTCCCTTCCACTGATATATTCCCAGCTTCTGGCAGGAAGGTTGTTGTCTGGTACCGAGTTCCGCAGGATTATCTTTGAGGCTCTTTATCTCCTCATTTGCTGCTCTCAGTTCTCCTTCTAGGCTGCAGTTCCTTTCTGATTGTCCCCACTACATGGGTGAACATCTCATTAAGGTACTGAGTCACAACAAACCACCAACACAATATTATTTACTTTATTTTGTCTTAAATATAATACAGTATCCAAAAAGATATAGTTCTATGTTTTATGTACTATATATGAAAAAGTGAGAAAACCCCCATATTTAAAACATGCATGTACATATATATGTTGAAAGTATCGTATGAAACACAAATGTGTGAGTCTCAGGAAGGCACTATGAAGAGTTTGTCCCAAGAGCGGAGGCGGGGCAAGCAGGAGGCGCTCATGGCTCGTACAAACAATTATCTTTGGAAGTAAAATAGATTCTTTTCAAATACAACAGTCAGCTTTCTCCTGAACTCCTGGATACCAAGAAAAACTAGCTCACTCTTTATATAACGTGAGTCAAGTGTTTGTTTTAACATTGGTGATTATAATTACCAAGCCTTTGATCTGTCGGCGGTTTGCTGCAAGTGTTTAGGATTTTGAAAGTGTATGTTACAATGCAAAAACATTACTTATGACTGGCAGCCTTCTCTAGCTCTAATCTCTGCCTCTCGATATCCAAGAAGGCCTGCTGGAAGGCATGGTTCCTCTCTGAGTCGGTCTGCATCTGCTTGTAGATATCATGGAGCAGTCGCAGTTGGCACTCCTGCAGGTAGACCCGACGCTTCTCCAGCTGCAGGAACTCTTGGTCCTCACGGTCCTCCAGGTCGCTGTCCTCGCCGGCCGTCCGCGTTCGCTTCGTGCTGGTCTGCTTCGCTCTGGTGTCCGCCGCCTCCCCGATGGTGATGGTGGGGCTGAAGGTGTCGTGGTTGAAGTACACGCTGTAGGGAAGAAAAGATATTTTCACTAATATTATTTCACAGAGCTCGTAGGGATATTTGGGGGGTTACTCGTGAGTGAAGGATCGGGACGGTTTGATCCAGGTGTGGGATTGTTCATCTGTTCATCAACGAAATATGTAAAAAATTATAACTATGATGAAATGCACTCAACCAGCCCAGTGTCCCCATAACACCGGTGTCCCACCACACCGGTGGTGGGACACCGGTGTAGTGTCCCCGGTGTGGTGTCAGACTCACCACATCAGTGGTGGGTCAACCTGCAGACGGGCATTAAACCTTTGTGTGAGGTGCAGGATAGTGTCCGGAGATAAAAGGGATCTGGGTGGTGGGTGTTGGCCATACAATCTTATCTCAAGTGACGGTGTGGCCTGGCACCACCAACACTCTCCTCCTCCTCTTGCTGTTGGCAGCGTTCCTGAAGCCGCTGCTTCACCTTGACTGGAGAAGTTGGGCTTCACTGGGCTCACGCCTACTGTCACTGACAATGTTCCTACACAATATTTGTGCTGCCTAATGTACTCATTCCTGACATATATTACCTATCTTATCTATGTATTTTCCATTCACAAGCACACACGCACCTTCCCAGGTTGCAGCCCACAACAACTGTCTAGCTTTCAGGTTCCTGTTTACTGCTTGGTGAACAGAGGCATAATGTGAAAGAAGTTCTGCTATAATTGTTTCTGTCTCGCCTGGGAATCGAACACAGATTCCTGGATTGTGAACCGCGAAAACAAACCACTCGGCCGCAGGACCCTGAGTGTGTGTACTCACCTAATAGTGCTTGCGGAGGATGAGCTTTAGCTCTTTGGTCCCACCTCTCAACTGTTAATCAACTGGCGTACAAATTCTGAAGCCTATTGAGCTCTATCACATCTACACTTGAAACTGTGTATGGAGTCAGCCTCCACCACATCACTGCTTAAAACAATGACTCATGTCTCAAACGCTTCTATAATATTGCAACCCGTCCTCCTGAAGTGGAAGTACAGTGGTCGACCGTACAAATATGGTCGTGATGGACCGGTAGAAAGTAGACTTCTGCATTATGGAATTTGGACAAATCGGAAAAGTGTTTCTATTTATGTTGCTAATGACACCTAACCTAATCATCCTAGGCCTAATACACGATATCTGAGGCCTAATATAGTACATATATGTGCTATACTAGGCCTAGGAATATTTAGTATTTATTTTTTAGTTTTTTTAGGGGTACTCTAAAATGAGAATAGTATCAAAATCTACTTTCTATTTGTCCACCATCTCGATATTTGTACGATGGTCCACAGTTACAAAGTACTATCATATTAGGAGAACGGGTTGCACATTTACATTGAAAACTTTGAATGTAATTAGCTTGAAGGACTCGTGCGTCTAACCTCCTGCACTTATTGACAGCTCTAACGCTGAGAAGGTTCTTTCTGGCGTCTTTGTGACTCATTGGCTTCTGTGGCTTCCCTGTATTTTGTAGGATTGAGCAGGACAGCGATAGACAGATCGCTTGTGGAGAGGGCGGCAGCCAGACTAGACCTGTCCCAGGCCAGGTGGGGGGTCAAGTCTACCCTACTAACCTCCCCCCCCCCTTTCTCTACCAACTTAGTCTCAGAGAATTTGGTGAGTGAACTTGTAAGGTGACGTATATTGTGATTACAACTTAGGTGTTGTGTTATTCTGAGGGGCAACAGTCGTAGATGCTCTCAACTTCTTGTGTGGTGACTCACATTTGTGTATTATTGTTGACATATTGAACATCAAGTGAAAAAGGGTGAATTATGATACCCATATGAGTGAAGATCTAATAGGATATATATAATTGATTAACTTACTTGTTAAACTGCCTTTAATTGTGATCAATAGATCTTGGATTTTCTATGATATATTGCAAGCTACAGTGGAGAGCACTCTGACGTTTACTGAGTGATGAAGATTAAGCCACCCAAAAGGTGGCACGGGCATGAATAGCCCGTAAGTGGTGGCCCTTTTGAATTATTACCAGTATCAATAGCTGATACTGGAGACCTGTGGAGGTGCGACTGGACCCTGCGTGACGGGAGATGTCTCCCGTGGACGTTACCTACCTTGAGGCTACCTTGAGGTGCTTCCGGGGCTTAGTGTCCCCGCGGCCCGGTCGTCGACCAGGCCTCCTGGTTGCTGGACTGATCAACCAGGCTGTTAGACGCGGCTGCTCGCAGCCTGACGTATGAGTCACAGCCTGGTTGATCAGGTATCCTTTGGAGGTGCTTATCCAGTTCTCTCTTGAACACTGTGAGGGGTTTGCCAGTTATCCCCCTTATGTGTAGTGGAAGCGTGTTGAACAGTCTCGGGCCTCTGATGTTGATAGAGTTCTCTCTCAGAGTACCTGTTGCACCTCTGCTTTTCAACGGGGGTATTCTGCACATCCTGCCATGTCTTCTGGTCTCATGTGGTGTTATTTCTGTGTGCAGGTTTGGGACCAGCCCCTCAATTATTTTCCACGTGTAAATTATTATGTATCTCTCCCGCCTGCGCTCAAGGGAGTACAGATTTAGGCTCTTTAGTCGGTCCCAGTAATTTAGATGTTTTACTGAGTGGATTCTAGCAGTAAAGGATCTCTGCACGCTCTCTAGGTCAGCAATTTCTCCAGCTTTGAAAGGGGCTGTCATTGTGCAGCAGTACTCCACTCTAGATAGCACAAGCGTTTTGAAAAGTATCATCATCGGTATAGCATCTCTAGTGTGAAAAGTTCTTGTTATCCAACCTGTCATTTTTCTTGCAGTTGTGACGGCTACTTTATTGTGTTCTTTAAAGGTAAGGTCTTCCGACATGAGTACACCCAGGTCCTTTACATTGCCTTTTCGTTCTATGTTATGATTTGCCTGCGTTTTGTACGTGGTTTCTGTTTTTATATTTTCAATTTTTCCGTAGCGCATGAGCTGAAACTTATCCTCGTTGAATACCATATTATTTTCTGTAGCCCATAGAAAGACCTGATCTACATCTGATTGGAGGTTTGCCGTGTCCTCTATGTTGCCTACTCTCATGAAAATCCTAGTGTCATCTGCAAAGGATGATACAGTGCTATAGGTTATAGGTTGGTGCTATAGGTGCTATAGGCTATAGGTTTACTGGCACTGGGGGGTAGAAATAGTCTAAGCTACTCTATCCCTTTGAGATGTATTTTTTTTCTTGTCTCAAACATACTTGACCTTGAACTTGTTTACTGGCTTAAGATTATGACCAAGACTCTTGGTTATACGAGTACTGTACATGCTTACAGTTGATACATGACATCTGATAATACTGTTGTGCAGACAAGTTCCATTCCTTATCTTATATATAGTTAACTTGACTGGAAAGACACGAGTGTGTAGTGTGACACACCAGCAGTGCCCAACTCCCACCATTCCAACCCCTCCGCTTAATTCCACGTCGCATTTGAACGTAAATAAAGCCAAAAGCTGTTGTACTAGAAAATGGTAGCAGCTTAACATAATTAACAATGTCCCATTTTCTGTTCGTGGGTCCTCTGGTAGGTTAGGATAAGGCACATTAGTAGGACAGTTTCTTGAGGTTGGGAACGCTGGGGAGACCGGGCTAAGGGCTAGGTTATGAAGGGTAGTGTATATCAGTGAGCTATATATTCACGGGAGACATCTCCCGTCACGCAGGGTGCAGTCGCACCTCCACAGTTCTCCAGTATCAGCTCTTGATACTGGTAATGGCTCAAAAGGGCCACCACTTACAGGCTATTCGTGCCCGTGCCACCTCTTGGGTGGCTTAATCTTTATCAATCAATCAGTGAGCTATATTACCTCTCCTTCTTTATGGTGGGTGTTGTGGGCGGCGAGGTGGTGGGTGGCGCGGCGCCCGCCTCCCGCTCCTCTGAAACAACAGGCAAAACTGTCAAATCAAATATTGTGAATAATACAATCCAATTACAACATGTAACCACGTGGAAGACAATAATTATCAGCAATAAAAGTAATTCTGAAGTCTTTTCAGACAATGTAGTAAAGAGATTTATTTGTATTAGTAAATAACATTTCCCCTTAATGATAGACTCCCGCAGTCTGTTAAAAAAACTTTACATAAACTAGGCTGTTAACTAATCGGTTATTTATTTAATAATTACTGATCTGTGAGATGTATTCCTGTAATCACTGATTAATTTTTTTGTTTTAATAAACATAAAAAGCCTTTATCCGCATTTTGCCGACCCTTCACTTGATGCGTCAAGCGTTGTTGGGACCTTATCCTCAGACCAAGTCCATTCCATCCAGCGGTCGACCCCAAGGACGCATTCATCAACTTTAACATGCTGTTCATTCAAAATAAGAATTTTCTGAAATATAAATTAATATTGTTATATATTAGCATACTGTGCATATTTAGGCATTGGTTAGGTTATGTTGGCGATTATATGTATTTGTAGTACGTGGGTGAAGCAGTTACAGCGTTGTGGTTCCACAACCCGTCCTCGACTCAAGTCCATTACACCCAGCGGTCAACCCCACAGACGCATTCATAAATTTTAACATGCTGTTCATTCAAAACGGGAATTTTCTCAAGTATAAATTAATATTATAATATATTAGCATATTGTGTATATATAGGCATAGGTTAGGTTAGGTCAGGTGTTTAGGTTCTGTTGGCGATTATTTGTATTTGTAGTACGTGGGTGAAGCATTTATAGCGTTGTGATTCGAACAAAATTCGTCAGTGAAGCACTTGTTCCGGATATGTTCGAACGTCAGCAGTTGTGAGTCGTGTGTAAACCGCTTTTCATTCATAAACAGCTGGGGTTTGGCGGGTGCATGGAATCACTTTTGGATCTTTGTTTGGAGGACGGGCTGCTGGTTCCAACAAAAGTCGTCAGCGAAGCACTCAACCAACAGCTCGTCCTCCAAACAAAGACCCAAAAGTGATTCCATGCACCCGCCAAACCCCCTGTTTATGAATGAAAAACTCTTTACACATGACTCACAACTGATGACGTTCGAACACTTCTGGAACAAGTGCTACACTGACGAATTTTGTTCGAACCACAAATGCTTCACCCACGTACTACAAATACAAATAATCGCCAACAGAACCTAAAACCCTAACCTAACCTATGCCTATATATGCACAATATGCTAATATTTTATAATATTAATTTATATTTGAGAAATTTCCCGTTTTGAATGAACAGAATGTTAAAATTTATGAATGCGTCTGTGGGGTCGACCGCTGGATGTAATGGACTTGAGTCGAGGACGGGTTTCTTCAAATAGAAATAATCGCCAACATAACCTAAACACCTAACCTAACCTACATCTAACTATACGTAGAATTTTTATGTATAAGAACATTACTTTATATATGAGAACAACCCAATTTTTAATACACAGTATATTAAAATTGATGAATGCGTCTGGGGAGGACGGTAGCTGCTTTAACCAGCCTAGCGTGAGGACGGGATGCCTGGAGTAGGTCAGTCATTTAACCTGGGGTAGGGGGAGAGACGAGCCTCGATACAAACCTAATAAATATACACAGGCTTCCTGTGTATAATAATAAAACAAATTATTATTTGTACGTGTACCAAGTTACTGTAGCTCCATGGAAGCTGATGGTGGGAAATGTCTCTAGTCAGGTCAAGTGTTGATCACACGAGGTCAGCTGGAGCCAGGACGGCACAATCACCTTCACCGTACTCTCAGAACTGCTGTCTCTAACAGCGGTGACCGCCTCGATTGATCTAAGCCACCACAAGAGGTGGCATGAATCCTAGTTCAACCTTGACGCCGAGCGGACGTCTGCAAGGACGCCTCCTCTACCTGGGGGCCGCCAGGTCACCTTTTGTTTTGCGATTTGGCATCCTTATTCAACGGTCCGGTTGTACAACGCCTTGTACAACGCATATCGCCTTGGGTCACGGGATTGTTGGTCGATTTTTTTACGTGCTCTGGCTGGTTCTCCCGGCGGGGTGACGGTGTCCGGCGCCGGCTTGGCCGAGAGCCAGGGGTTGGCGGGTCTTGGTGGGCTCCTGGTGTGCCCTCATCGTGGTGGGCTCCTGGTGTGCCCTCAGTCGTGGTGGGCTCCTGGTGTGCCCTCAGTCGTGGTGGGCTCCTGGTGTGCCCTCAGTCGTGGTGGGCTCCTGGTGTGCCCTCAGTCGTCGTGGGCTCCTGGTGTGCCCTCAGTCGTGGTGGGCTCCTGGTGTGCCCTCAGTCGTCGTGGGCGGCTGGCTTCTGCTCTGCTGGGGGGGGGGGGCACTGGATGATTTTTGCGTTTTAGTTGGGGGCCGAGTTTTTGGTTTTGTTACCCAGTGTTCCCTGTGTGGGGCGGGGCCGGTGCTTGTCACCCTGAGGGAGTACTGGGTCTCCCCAATCATCTGCCTGTTTGCGTTTCTTTGCTGCGAGGCATATTAGTTCCCAGTGATTGACGTCACTCGTTTCGCGATTTGGCTTGGCGTTTCACCCTTTCCGGGCTTCGTGATTAACCCTACACGGACACGCCGGGGCGCATCCGACCCCACGATCGGCGTCGCCCCTAAATCAACAACATATTACCAAGTCATACTTCTAACCACCAACAGACATTCAACGCTCTCTCTCGTGAGCCTGTTTCATACACGCCCCTAAATTTTCCTTTGACGTACAAGGAAAAAATATAATTAAATCGAGCCAGTAAAAAATATTGCCGGAACAACCGTGGACATCTTCAAGAGGAAACTAGATTTATTCCTCCAAGGAGTGCCGGACCAACCGGGCTGTGGTGGGTATGTGGGCCTGCGGGCCGCTCTAAGCTACAGCCTAGTGGACCAAACTCTCACAAGTCAAGCCTGGCCTCGGGCCGGGCTTGGGGAGTAGAAGAACTCCCAGAACCCCATCAACCAGGTATCAACCAGTTGGAACGCTATGACGAACAGAAACTGCGTCATACTCTCCAACATTTAGTTATTGAATATCCAGTTATCAGACCACTCAAATCTGCCAGCATGAGGATACCTAAAGTTCTGCAGTTATTCATTCTCGTGTGCTTGAAGATATCTTTATAATCTACCCACAATGTACTAGTGCTGGTTACAGACTGAGAATGAGGCCTGGTCAGAGACCGGGCCGCGGGGACGTTGACTCTGGGAGCCAACACAAATAAAGCGAGCACATCATAAACACAGTGAGAATCTATTGGTTGTGCCAGTTACGTGCAATATTAATTTTCCTGTCATGCAAATTATGAATTATCCACACCACCCCCATCCAGTGGGCGGGGGGGGGGGGGGGAGGGAAGGTGGCAGCCACCTGCACCCACCACCTACAGTTTGCAAACTTAGGATAATTAGCTAAAATATCTTGTAGATAATTTTATATTAAGTACCGTGCACAAAAGATACATCTGTACACACATGTATTACGTGCACCTTTATTACACCCACAAGTATTACGTGCACCTGTATTACGTACACCTGTATTACGTGCACCTGTATTACGTACACCTGTATTATGTACACCTGTATTACGTACACCTCTATTACGTACACCTGTATTACGTACACCTCTATTACGTGCACCTGTATTACGTACACCTCTATTACGTGCACCTGTATTACGTACACCTGTATTATGTACACCTCTATTACGTACACCTCTATTACGTGCACCTGTATTACGTACACCTGTATTACGTACACCTCTATTACGTGCACCTGTATTACGTACACCTGTATTACGTACACCTCTATTACGTGCACCTGTATTACGTACACCTGTATTACGTACACCTCTATTACGTACACCTCTATTACGTACACCTGTATTATGTACACCTCTATTACGTACACCTGTATTACGTACACCTCTATTACGTACACCTGTATTACGTACACCTCTATTACGTACACCTGTATTACGTACACCTCTATTACGTGCACCTGTATTACGTACACCTGTATTATGTACACCTCTATTACGTACACCTGTATTACGTACACCTCTATTACGTACACCTGTATTACGTACATCTCTATTACGTACACCTGTATTACGTACATCTCTATTCCGTACACTTGTATTACGTGCACCTGTATTACGTACAACTGTATTACGTGCACCTGTATTACGTACACCTATTGTCGAGGACAGGAAGCCTATTAGGTTTATTGAGGTCTACTATAGTCCAGTCACTGATCTTCCCTTGCAGAATGCAACTCACAACAGTTGCCTAACTCCCTGGTATCTATATTAGGTGAACACAGGCGTAAAGTGAAAGGAAACATCCCCAAACTTCTGTGCACTGCTAGGTATAGGAAGCCTGTTAGCTTTATGAACGTTCTCTTAAGTGTACGTACGGTCACACCTTTCAGTAACTGGCCATATAATAATAATAATAATAATAATAATAATAATAATAATAATAATAATAATAATAATAATAATAATAATTAGAAAATTAGTAGGAGCAGTGATGAGGGTTCGAACCAATGTGGTGGAAATTGAAATTGAAATAAGTTTATTGAGGTAAAATACACACAAAGGGATGAGGTAGCTCAAGCTATTCTCACCCCGTTCAGTACAACGTGCTAACGTGCTAATACATACATAGACACACATCACAAACAATAAACATATTACCAAACATTCTGAGAATACCTGGATGTGGTGGATGTTCCCACGCACACGCTTCTAGCGACTAGACCACGGCATGGATAAGGATTGCATCCTGGGTTCAGTAGAACTCCAGGTTGCAATCCTTATTCATGTCGTGGTCTAGTCACTAGAAGAGGAACACCCACCGCATAGGTTAGAACCCCCCATCACTGTTCCTACGGATTTTCTCAATGTGATTACTGTGTAATAATAATAATAATAATAATAATAATAATAATAATAATAATAATAATAATAATAATAATAATAATAATAAATTATACTATGCTTATTAAGTCTGCCTGAAACGCTTTGCGTAATAGTGGCTTTAGGCATTGTATGTACTAGCTCTATCTATAAATCTATCAATTTTTGTAAAAAACTCTTGTATGTACTTTACCTGAATAAACATTTATTTATTTATTTATTTATAAGAATACTTTATTTAGGTAAAGGTGCATACATACAAAATGAGTTACAAGCAGAATGTTGGATTTCTAGATAAAGGTAGTATATACTATGCTTATTAAGTCACTAATAGGCTTTTTGGGCTATTCATGCCCGTACCACCTTTTGGGGGGATTAATCTGTATCAGTCAATCACTAATACACACAGCGTTTCGTGCAAAGCTAACTATCTAACCCGATAATTAGGTAGGTTCTATAACAAGATTAAGCCGTCAACATACCCTGTGTAGCGAGTGGGTGATCTGGCAGACGGGATGCAAGAACCTCTCCCGAAGAGGTCCGAGAGCCCTCCTGATGCTCCTCGTGTTCATTAAAATAACTGGACGCTGACGAAGGTCGTATAGGGAGAGCATCGGCATCGACCTCACAAATGAGGCCTTCTACTGCCCCTTCTACTGTTCTATCTACACCATCAATCTCCCCCAGCAACTCTAGGATTTTCAGGTCTGTCTGGTTGTAGATAACATCGGGGGAGTGACAGTCCGTTTTCTTTAGTTTATTTCGACGTGAAACTTCTTTCTTTCTGTCGCTAAGGTAGTAATACCATTTTCTCCGAACTTCATCCGCAGTTCTTGGTTGAACTGTGCACACTTCGTTAACTTTTTCAGTGATGGATTGCCAAATAACCATTTTTTTCTCGTTAGTGATGGTGCTACAGAGTCTGGAGAAGAGCGTCGCCCTATTCCTGTACACCTCGTCGACAAGGACGTCGATTTCATGAACGGAAAAACGAGCTTTTCTTTTTCTCACTTCCATATCGCACTTCCACGGGACCGGGAGCTAGATCCTCGGCGACACATACAGCAATAGGTTAGCATGGTCTGTGCGTAAGTTTCCGTACACGATAAATAACAGGCCAAATTGCTAAATTTCTCGTTATCTGTCTCGCTAAGGTCTCGTTACTCCACCGTGGGAGAGTCCGGCGCCAGGATGTACGCACACACACTCTGCGCTCCCACCTACTCTTTATTACACCATTTTACACCGCCTTAGTGCGCCACTTTCCCTAGTAAAATACATACGTAAAGTTTAATGCGCTTTACACCGAATTTACTGAATTCTCGGTAGCTTCTGGAAAACTGAGAGGCGATAAACGAAAGGAAAATATATGGAAAAACATTGTGGGTGACAGCGTGTGTGTACAGTGGGGCGGCGCATACGCAGACGAGTTTGGCAAGATGTCCCTCGCTAACACCTTCATATACGCCCCCATGACAGGCTCTTAACCACTGGAGACTACACACGTAACTAGAGAGAATTAAAATATAATGAGTGCGTAGAGAAGTGTAGAGGGTTGAGAGAGATAAAGAAAGAGAGAGGCAACATGGGTGGTGAGCATCCATGGTGATGGTGCAGATGGTCCGTGGTCACCATGGCAGTGGTCTAGTGGGCTCTTCCCTGCTCCAGTGGTCTCTACCCCCCTCTGCTCCAACACTTACAACACCAATACCCTCCTTATTATCATTTGTGTGTTAAATTAGTGTTTATTGGGTTTCGTAGTAGTGAGATAAGTTGCGTGTATAGAGAACAATTCTGGCAACTGTCAGATGCAGTGACTCGCCACATTAGTCTCTAGGCTACACTCAGCTATAGAAACTAAGATACAGTCTACTTCTGTATGCTAGAACGTGAGAGACTAGTTGTCAAGTGTTGGTTAACTGGTCGATATTTTGAATGACTAAACCAGCTAGTCCAGCATTAAATTAATGTTGTTTTAGATTCAGCAACTGAACAAAACGTTCAAAGTAGCACAGGCTATGGCGAGCCCATAGTGGATTTACCTAGTACAGGAATGGGCTGTAACCGTTAAATTAATAAAAAAAATTGTGCACATGACTTATGCCCAAACATATGCACAAAAAGCCCAAAACAAATATTTGCCCATTTTATCTAGCCACTTTTTTTGACTTTGTGGATGAGTTGTTTGCAAAGGTAAAGGCTAGGCTAGAATATGTTAAGTTAATATGTTAGTTTAGGTTTGGAACAAGTTGTAAAAATTACTCGTCCTAAAACCATTTTCTCATAAGGATAAGAGCGATTATTATTTTTTTTAAGTGCCATTAATATATTATAATTTTTAATTATAACTGACTGCTACATTAACATACTGTAAAGTGGCACCTTCAGAATTTGGAGCATATCATTCCGGATCAACTTTGCAATTATCCAGATTTCTGAATAATGGCCTTTTTCTTGAGGGGTGGGAAATTGATCACAAAATTTTCCACATTTTTCTCATACAAAATAATACAATGGATGTTTTTACGTATTAAGACATAATATTATTCCCATTGTAAGGTATAAAAGGCCTTTTAGGCACATTGTTCCGCTAGGCAAATAACTAACCTTCCCCAGGATGCATCTCACAACTCTTGGCCAACTCCGGGTATATATTTACTGCAAGATGAATAGAGTCATCAGGTATAGGGAAACTTGCCCAAAGGTCACTCCATACTTGGGAATTGAATTTGGGTACAAACAGTTGTGAGCTGACAGCGTTAACCACTGCACCACAAATTACTCTTAAGCCATGATTATTCTTGGCATGTACTGTAAATGTTAATTAGGTTTACTTGAATGTATAAATGCAAAAATATTATATTTTGACTTAGATGTTTGCAGCAGTCTTGTGTATTGGTAACCTACTGACAGGAAAATACATTTACAGTATTGTAGAGTTTAGCACAGTATTACACAGTCAAGCAGCCTTTCTACATTGAACTGTAATTGCACCTTTAACACTTAATTGCTTTTGTGTCAACACTGCCCAGGGTTTGTGCCATTTATTTTAGCTGCAAACAATGTTTGCAGGTGGCGGATGACTTGGCCAAACGTGCCACATCAAAACCACAAGTTGACATTGAATGTGAATTCACAATGAGACAAATAAGAAGCAAAATCAGAAATATTCAGGCACAGGCGGGAGTGGAGAGGAGAGAGATAATGTATGAGAGTAGTCAAACCATGCAACACTACATGTATGTGAGTCAAAACACCCATTTCACTTATGGTAAAAGGAGAAATGCTTGGAGTGACTCTGTGTACATGCGGCTCAGGCTTGGGTACAAATATTACTGGGAATATGGGATAGATGTTCATGGTAATGACACGAAGTGTAAACTATGTGGTATGTTAAGGTCTCACACCCTTGCCCATTATATTCTTGATTGTCCGTTGATTAGTGTATATAGAAACACTGAGATAAGGACTGTTCCTGAACAAATAGCCTGGATGTGTCACAACGGAAAGGTTGATGATATTCTTGAGAGATATAAGAATTTTGCACCAAGATTGTAATATTTTGTTGAATTATCTGCAGGTGTCTTGCAAATTGTCTATACAGTATACCTAGGTCATAAAAGTATTTGTGTGTACGTCTGATACCATACTCCTTGTGACGGAGGAAATGTATATTTTTACCTCTCAGAATGTTTGGTAATATGTTTATTTGTGATGTGTGTCTATGTATATATTAACACGTTGTACTGAACGGGGTGAGAATAGCTTGAGCTACCTCATCCCTTTGTGTGTATTTTACCTCAATAAACTTATTTCAATTTCAATTTCAATTTCAATGTTTGTGTGCCACCATTAGCAACCTCAGGCTAGTTTGAGGGTCACCCAAATCATGCTTGGGCCTCAATGTTTTTGTTATTACTTATGGTTCTTCAGCTTTTTCTTGCTGGCAAACTTTAGGTTTGGAACAAGTTGTAAAAATTACTACTGCTAACTACTACAAAATGCAAAGTTCTGCTACGTTTCATTTTGTGCCAAAAACAGCAGTAGTAGTGCCAGTGTCATACACCTCTTCCAGCTGATTACCTCCCAAGTCCTTAGTGTAGTATGTCCAGTAATAATGCATTTTAATTCATTGTGTCGAGGGACAGGCAGCCAGTACAGTACATGTTAGGCTTATATTGAGGTGTCCCAGTGGTCGAATTACTGTCCCTTCCCAGGATGCAACAACACAACAAGCTGCCTAACTCTTGGGTACCTATTTACTGTTGGGTGAATCGGTGCATTAGATGACAGGAAACACCCCCAATCATTTCTGTCCGCCTAGGATTCGAACCCGGAATTTTGGCTCGAGTCAAGAACAAACCCACCTGTACTGCTGGGATCCCTCGGTATTTTATCCATAGTAATGAAGTTCCTAGTACCCTTACCAGATGCACAATTACCGCTCTTGCCAGAGAATTACCAAAATTCTTGGTATGTCTTGGATACTACAGAAAAAAGCTGCATAAACAAACTCTGTATAATTGGCATACAAGCACAGTAAAAACATACCTAAAATCAAAATAAATTATTTAAAATAATTATTAATATACAGAGCAATAACAATTAGGATCTGCTGGAAAGTTAATTTGTGACAACCCAAATTTTATCAGTGTCAATTTGGAATTACTGTACTGTAATATTTTTCTGAATTGCATACAAATTTTAGGAAAGCTGTTTAGTGTCTGGATTTGGTCCGTTGTACACTATGTACTATTTGTCAAAATTATGGAGGTTCCTCTGTATTGTATTTTCAAATTTGGCTGTACAGTATACAGTACAGTAGTTATATAAGAGTGGAATCCTCTTAATCCAGATGCCCATTTTCTGGCTTCTCAGATTATCCAGAAAATAAAAAAAAATTATTCTCCACTTCAATAACCAGAAAATGTCTTGGTGCAATTTGGTGACAAACAATAATTATTTATACTAAATCATATAACAGTGTCATTGGTTTCCTACATATACATTGGTGTATATACATTGATGTATGTACATTGGTTTCCTATACAGGGTATATACATTGGTTTGATACATGTACATTGGCTTCCTTCATATATATTGGTGTCTGTACATTGGTTTCCTACATATACATTGGTGTATGTACATGGGTTTCCTACATATACATTGGTGTATGTATATTGGTTTCCTACATAAACATTGTTGTTGAATATGACCTAATTGTAAGAATAATGATTCTAACACGAATCTTCTCAGTATTTCTTATGTTTTTCTTCACTTCCAAGGGAAGTTGAAAAATTAACTCTCCAAAATTCATTTCCGCACTTTTTATTTTGGTCCGATGCCTAGGGATATGTTTTGCAAGGTCACTCCTTACATTCTCAAAGACAAGTTTACTATGTTTAGCACTGGCTTATATTCTCTTTGGGGGAGGTGGTAAAGAACAAGTGGATGAAATAATTGGATGAATGGCATAACATAGGGGATATTGATAGGATATTAAATGTATTAACATGGGTAGCTTATGTTCTTGTGGTTGCTTGTGTTCCTAAGGCAAGGTCATTGGATCCTGTCTCTGCGTTGGCTTGGGGTCTTGAAGTGGGTAGAATGTAGTTACTGTATATACATAGGCCAGGTCTGTTATTACAGAAGTGTTGCCTAATTGTGTCGAAATGAAGGGAATTATAATACAGTTCATAATAAATTTTGGTTATACTGTACTGTACTGGCAAATCCTTTTAAATGTAAATGGGTGATATGACTAGCTGTCTAAAGACCAGTGTCAGGGTATCTGAATTACTGGACCCTGTTATATTTTGTTAATATCTCTTTGAGTACTGCATGTACTAGATATAGTATACATTATAGTGTTATTTATAGAAGATTGTCACCTTTCAATTCATACTATATATTTCCATATATTTTGCAATAAATATAAAATTGCCTTAAAGTACTGTATATGGATAACATCAATAATGTTAAGGTGTCTGGAGACAGGCAACATTGTCATAGATAATTATTTTGGACTGCTGTGCAGGTGTGTGTGTGTGTGTCCATTTGTTTGCCCTCAAACAATTACCAACTACAGTCCAATACTTACTTTTTACTAAACTTATGACCCTTAAAAATCTGAGCACAGAGATACTGCTTCTCTGTTTGGACAAGCAGGCAATCACAGTCA